TACACCAAAAAAAGACCATACGTTTTAAAATAACTATAAAAACGAAGGGCCACAAGCATATTCTTGCCATTTTACGGCTAACGAGCGGCACGTGGTGCTTTCCACCACAGCGATGCGCAGTGTTGCTTCTGTAAAGCGTTCATTGCCCGCTGGTTTTAGTGGCCCCCCAAGTGCGGTGCGTTTCTCCACGGTTGCTTATTTGGAGGAGAAACAAGCATCGCGTTGGGTTCTTTCGTCGTATTTTTTTTTTCTCAATCGAACGCCATGGCATGTATTTGTGCTGACCTGGTTCACGAGGTGACGCAATTTTCACGGTATTTGCCTTTCTGTTCGCCTGTGTGCATGCCTGTAATGAGCTAGGTCGCAGTTATTATGAAAAAAAAAAACAAGTTCTGGGAACAAATGTGATTCGTATACTTTTGTTGAGCTTGATAAACAAGAGAAAAAGCGGGGGTCAGAACGTTGCCCTCAGCAAAGTTCTGTCTCGCGGGGTGCAGCAATGTATCGCTGCATGATGGTGACGCGGATACAAAAACCCGTGATAGGGGCACCTCTTTTTGTGTGTGTGTGTAATTTTACGTAGCGTTGTGCTACAACCGATGTCTTTCTGAGCGAGAAACAGCGCCCTAGACGGTACGAAAGGATAGACGAGGCACACGGACACAGCACTGAGACAATTTTTTTTTACCGAAAGAGACGAAAAATGTCGTCATGTTATAGAAAAACAGAAATAGCCTTTGCGGTTACGGAACACTTCGGCGTTGTCGACACCGGGGCTATTAATACGCACGTGTGTGTAGTCGACACATTCTGTAACGCAAGGGAACTCAGCCACTTCATAAAAGTCCGCCGGCTGCGGAAAGCGCACCAGCATTGCGTACAGGTGCTTTCCGATGAGTAGCGTAACTTTTCCGACTGCACGGTACACTGTAGACTACGGAATGTGGACGAAATTTCCGGTGACTGGTTGGAATGTGCCAGCGCTGTAAAACCTGAGAGCCATCAGTAGCTGTAACACTGGATGCACGGGCTGTCTTCGGTTGTCCCCACTTTCACGGAGCGGCAACATAACGAGCAGCTGCCCCATTGCGTTCTCCATGAATATGTACCTAGCGTGGAATTGTTGCTCGTCGTACAACTCCATCGGATTTCCTTGGTCACGTAAAGCGGTTCCAAGAATCTTCGGCAGGCAGTGCGCCTCAAAAAATGCTACGCTTATGGCGAGGCAAGCAAACTCAAAAGTGGCCACCTTTCACGCCACGTCCATTCGAGAGTTGGCCATGTTGAAATAACGCGTGAAGTCGCTTTCAAGCAAGCCCCGCAGCTGACTTGAAACTTGTCCTAACTTCGACCGAGCCAAGTCGCCTTCAAGTCATCCGCGAGTTCGAGAACGATTTATGGCGACCGGCAAGACTGTCTTGAGTCAAGAACGAGTCAAGTACGAGTCAAGCAACATCTCTGCATTCGGGGGTATGTCTACGAGTCTAGACGTGCGACATTAGTTCACGGGAAGAGTAAACAATATACAAAAAGACAACCTAAATGTCATAAAATTTTTACACTACTTTGCTCTTTGATTTTCTTGTGCCCACTTTTCCCACGTGGGATCATCCCGTGCTGTATCATCCGACGATGCTTTCAATAAGATTTTTTTGCTTTTTTTTGGGGGGGGGAGATCCAGCTGTTCCTATGCACGTAAATTGGTCAAAGACCGTGTTCCGTGAAGCAAAGCTGTGTGCCTGCGCGCATAAAAAGTGTCTCCAATGTTACTGCGCTCAAATGACTGAACGCATTTGGCTACCATTAAATTTGCATGTAAACTGAATATTAAAGCCCAACCATCGCATGCGTCGCAAGCTTACACGCAATTTTTAAACCCTCGTGCTGACAACGCATGGCATATTCTACTCTGGAAACAAAATTCATTATCTTTCTCGTAAGCTGACTGTTTCGACAACAACAGGCTTCTCAGTATACCCATTCGGTATTCGGTGTAATAATTTCCGCTAACTTGCGGTGACTTGAAGCACCGATGAATTTGAATAATATAAGAGCTCTTGAGGGAGGCCACATTGCGTATGTTACCGATATTTATTTTATAAAGTTGCTAGGTAAATATTATCCTGTTATGTATTCCACAAGCTATGAACAAAAATAACTATTGAGGTCAGCCTTTCTTTATTTCATACATTAACTCTTGAGAAAGCGACAGCGTTAGCGTCCATTGCAAGTTGGTAGACTATACCAGATAGCTTTAAATATATGATGGTGCATTAGTTAAATGCAGTTTTAAGGTTGCATGTGTTTTGTTCAACTTTAGCCTGCATGACGTCATCAAAGTTTACATACGATGTGACCTCGCGTTTTCAGTATAAACAAAATGAACATTTTTCTGTTTGGAAGTGCACTGACGAGATGAACGTACGGTAAAAAAAAAGTGGCAGATCCCACGTAAATGTAAATAGTTGATGTGCGAATAACGAATGAGAAATGTTGATGTGTCACTTTAAAATCAGCACAACGTTACGAGGTGGAGGTAAATGATGCCACATATGACTTCCTTGTCGTGATTATCATCTTTGGATGTGTCGTTTACCTTCGTCATCTATTCGCGTCACGTTATACCAAACTTAGTATACAGAGAGCTAGCGAAACGACCGCGAGCATGCAATGAGCGTGGTATGTTGTCATTGTTGTAGCCGGCGAGCAAGGCGACGCTGGCCTCAGTTGGTGGCGAAGGTTTAATGTGATAAGCAAGCGGCTCGCATGCCAATATAAGTACAGGCACATGACGTAGCCTGTGACGTCAGTACGGCGCGTCATACGTTGGCTACTACATCTCTTCCCCCTTTATTTAGCAGCATAGCCAAAACTTTCGGGAGGCTTTCGAATTCTTGTGCTTCGTCGCAATTCAGGTGGCGCGACGTTTTCTTGGGAGCTGGCGTCAGGCGCCTGCTATGATGGCAGTTCCGTCCCGCTGGCTCGGTCAGGTGGCGGAAGTCGTTGCTCTGGTGCAGGCCCGTCCGGCGGCGATGCGGTGTCGCTGTCGCTTTGTGACGGAGTGGAACCCGGCTGTGCCATGCGGGTTTGCTCAGGAATCCACACGCTTCTGGGAAGAGGAGCAAGGCGTGTGTTAGGAACAATATCGTCCGCATGCAGAAAGTGCTCGTGGTCTTCGATTCGGACTATGTATGTTCCTTTGCTAACTCGTCGCACAACTGTTCCTTCCAACCAACGTGGATCACTCCGTCGGTTTCCTCGCACAGGAACGTTGTCGCCAACCTCGAACTCCCTCCATGAAGTATGGGTTTCCTGACCCTGTCTTCGAGCTATATTTGCTTCGGCACGTTTAGCTCGCTCCGGATGCAAGATGCTCAGCCTCGTGCGTGGCCTCCATGAGAGAAACAGTGCGGATGGCGTCTTACCGGTCGTCGAACACGGTGTGTTTCGGCAGGTGAACAGGAACTGGTCTACCCGATGTTCCATCGTCCGAGTCACTCCCGTGTTCTGCTCGTCCCGTAGCTGTTTGATGAAGCTTCGCTTGACGTTCTGGACAAGCCTCTCTGCCGTGCCATTTGAAGCTGGGTGGTAAGGTGGTGTCTTGGTGTGCTGCACTGCATTGGAGTTGAGAAAATTTGTGAGTTCAGCAGACACAAATTGCGGCCATTGTCAGTCACAATTCTCTCGGGAAGCCCAAATGCAGCAAGAACAGTGCGGAGTTTATCAACTGTCGCCAGTGCTGTAGTGGACTTCATGTGCAGAACATCCACCCACTTGGAGTGCTCATCGACAAGCACTAAAAACCAGTCGTTCTTGTAGTAGGCAAAATCCAGGCGAACTCTCTGCCACCTGCGGGTTGGCCATCCCCACGATAACATCGGCACGTGGGGCGCAGAGTTCTGCGTTAGTTGGCAAGTTGAAAAACCTCTTACAGTTTCTTCCATGCGGTCGCACAACTTTGGCCACCACACATGGCTTCTTGATAGCATTTTCATGCGAGTGATGCCTGGATGCCCTTCATGCAAAAGCGATAAGACTTCAGATTGTACCGCTTCAGGTATTACAACCCGAGTTCCTTATGTTATGCAACCACAGTCTACCGACAGTTCGTCTTTCCGCGAGAAGAATGGGGCTACGTTGCCTTCTGGCACGTACGATGGCCATCCATTCAAAACATACATCAGCACCTTTATTTATTTATTTATTTCACAATACTGCAGGCCAATGTGCTGGCCCAAGCAGGAGTGGATACATCAAAACGTAATTGTAGAAAACAACAGACAACAATGCAAAAGAAACGAAAGGTTAAGAAAGAAGGTGACGCTCAAGGTCACCAAGAAACTTATTAGAATGAAAGATGTCACACGGCAAACAATTCCAGTCATCGACAGTTCTAGGAAAAAAACTATATTTAAAAGCATTTGATCGGGAAAAAATAGGGGTTAGAGCATAGACAAAACTGGGTCTTTTTGGGTTTCGTCACTGATCCTTTTCGCAGATAGTGGTACGGCTTCTACTGCTGAAAAGAAGTGAACGTAGTCGCTTTCGTCGGTGTCGTTCGGAAGCGGTAATCGCGATAACGCGTCCGCGTTTGCTACTTGGGCTCCCTTTCTGTGCACCCATTTGTAGCGATATGCGGCTAGCACTAGCATCCGGCGCTGCATGCGTGCTGCTGCCATTTTCTGAATTGGCTTTTTTTGCCCCAGCAGTCCCTCCAGGGGAAGGCGATCGGAATAAATGGTGAATTCACGGCCGTAAAGATACTTGTGAAACCGTTTGATTCCGAAAATCACAGCCAACGCTTCCTTTTCTATGTGGGTGTAGCCACTTTCGTCCTTGCTCAAAGTGCGTGACGCATAAGCTATCGGCCTTTCTTCCCCGTTCACGACATGAAACAACACGGTGCCCACCCCGTAAGGAGAGGCGTCGCAGACTAATCCAAGAGGCTTCTTTGGGTCATAGAATGTAAGCACGCTCGCTTGCGTAAGGAGGCTCTTACTCTACTCGAAGGCTTTTTCTTCTTTTGCGGAGCAGACCCACTTCTTATCCTTCTGAAGCAGTGCATACAAAGGCTTTAGCCTCGAAGACATGTTTGGCATGAACTTGGAGTAAAAAGTTATCATGCCGAGGTACGCTTTAGGCTCACCGATGTTCTTAGGTGTGGGTGCTTCCCTTATGGCTTCAAACTTCTCGACGCACGGGTGCACACCATTTTCGTCAATGATATGCCCAAGATATTTGACAGAATTCAAGAAAAGCTTGCATTTTTCCTTTCTCACTTTTACGCCGTGGTCTATGAAAACCTGCAAGACTGCTTCCACCCGGGCCAGACATTCGGTCTGCGATGCTCCCGTGATGAGGACGTCGTCGAGGTAGCATACCACTACCGGTAGTCCTTTCAACAGCTCGTTCATGATTGCTTGGAAAACTGCAAGCGCACTTGAGATTCCGTACGGCATTCGAACATACTGGAACAACGCCATGTGAGAGTTTATAGTCACCAAAGGTCGCGAGTCAGGGTGCACTTCGATTTGCTGATATGCCGTCGAAAGGTCCAGAACGGTGAAAACCTTACCCCCAGCCAGTGTCGTGAACAAATCCTCCACCGCGGGCAGTGGGTAATGGTCGGTCTTCACACATGGATTCACCGTCAATTTATAGTCTCCACACAATCGTACTGTGCCGTCTGGCTTGTGAACAGCTACCAGAGGCATGGCCCAGTCGCTGCGGGTTACGGGCACTAGTACGCCCTCTTTTTGCAAGTTGCCTAGCTCATGCTCGACAGGTTCACGAATGGCATACGGCACAGACCACGCCTTGCAGAAGACTGGCATGTTTCCTGCCTTAAGCACCAGTTTTGCTTGGTAACCCTTTATCAACCCTAAACCAGGTGAAAAAACGCTGGCATACCTTGACAGGATGCTGTCGACAGACGGTTGTGCGTGCACCTCGAGAATGCTGTTTAGGTCCATTCCGAGGTTCGCAATCCAGTCGTGGCCTAGGAGTGCTGGCTTCTCTCCTGGTACCACGATGATTGGCAGGACTTTCCGCTGTCCCTTATAATCGACCAAAACCTCCGCTTGGCCCTTCACTTGTAGCGTCGCTCCGCCGTAAGTCTTGAGCTTCATCTCGCACTTCGCAAGCTGCGGCGGCTGCTTTAGCTGCCGGTAAACGCATTCCGGAACGAGTGATACGGCTGCGCACGTATCTACTTGCATCTTCACAAGCTGGCCGGCTATCTGTACTTCAACTTCATATGGTTGTTTCGTGCCCACCAGATAAACACCGTGCAGCAGCAGCTCTGTGCCTCCACTCGCTTCGTCACTCACGTTGTGGACGGTGCCAGGCGCTGCTTGCTTCCATCTGCACATGCGTGCCAAATGTCCCACGCGCTTGCAAAGATGGCATTTGAATTTACGATAACGGCAGCAACGGGCGTCATGTTCTTGACCGCATTGATAGCAGCTTTGCATTGAACTGTTCTTCGGCTTGCTGGCAAACTCCGGTTTCTTCCCCGTCTTCTTTAGAGCGTGAATGTCGGCATCCGTATTCGCAGTTCGTCGGAATCCCCTCGACTCCCGCTCCGCTAGCTCAACGCTCTTAGCAAAAACGCAGGCCGATTCGAACGTCAGCTCCTTCCTCTTCAGTAAACCCGTCTGAATGGTGGAATTCCGTAACCCAGCGACGAACCGGTCCCGTAAAGCGTCACCGAGAAACGTACCGTAGTTGCACTTGGCTGCCATGTTCTTCAGCGTGACTGCAAATGCCGCGACGGTTTCCCCTTCTCCTTGGTACCTCCTGTTGAATTTGAAACGCTCCGCAATGACCTGACTTTAAGGCTCGTAGTGGCCACTCAGCACTTTCACCAAGTCCTCGAACGTCTTTCTCTTCAGGTTTTGCAGGTAGAAGAAGGTCCTTGAGCATCTTGTACGCTTTCTTTCTTATGGCAGAGATGAAGGCTGACTTTTTAAGTTCTTCGTCTTGTACGCCGGCTACTTTGCAATAGTGCCCAAACCGTTCTACATACGAAGCGAAATCCTCGTCTCCTTCTTCTATGAAGGCGTCAAATTCCCACATCTTCGCCATACCTTGCTATTCGCCTTCCAGCTGTCGTTGCTCACAGGATCCGCCCCCGTCGTTTGGTGCAGCCTATCCCATCCTCGTCACCATCTGTTGTAGCCGGCGAGCAAGGCGACGCAGGACTCAGTTGGTGGCGAAGGTTTGATGTGATAAGCAAGCTGCTCGCATGCCAATATAAGTTCAGGCACATGACGTAGCCTGTGACGTCAGTACGGCGCGTATTTGATTGATTTGTGGTGTTTAACGTCCCAAAACCACCATATGATTATGAGAGACGCCGTAGTGGAGGGCTCCGGAAATTTTGACCACCTGGGGAGTACGGCGCGTAATACGTTGGCTACTAAAGTCATGTTCTTACATGACACGCGTCACAGGATTGTCGGGTTTGCAACAGTCACATACATTTGTCATTCATTGACGTCCCTTAACACCGAATTTCGTATATGTGGAGCTAGCAAAACGGCCACGAGAGCATTATGCAGGGCCCAATATACTTCAATGTAGCATTGACGCGCGCGCACACTGGGCACAGCGACGCTACGTTATTAAAACGCGAGCACTCTATAGTCTGACGCCAGGCGCGACCGGCGTCCGTCTAAGTGGCCAAGCGAACACCGGCGCGAAATGCGACATGCTGCATTTCACGCCGATGAATTAGCCAGAAAATACTGCGTCTCCCTCTTTTTGTGGCAAAGGGACGCCAGAAGAGCTGAAACGCGCACGCGTCAAACAACGCAGCGCGGCACGCGGCTGCGAATGTATAGCAGGAACGGTGCCTGACGTCGTGACGCCGGGGTGACGCGTCGAAATGAACGTCGGCAAGCACGCGCACCGCGTCACGTCGAAATGTATTGGTGCCTTGACTGTGACCACCACTCATGCTGTTACGTGGCACGAATCTCATAATTATCATGTTTTCACCAGTCACATACCTTCGTCATTCATTCACGCACCGTAATACCTAATTTAGTATATGTGACGCTTGCGAAACAGCCGCGAGTGTATCAAGACCGTGGCATGTAGTCATGTTGTTACATGACATGCACGTCATGATTTTCATGTTAGGGTCAGTCGCTTGTGTTCGCCATGCAATCATGTCATATTATACTAGTTTTGCAGCATGCCATGTGAACGAAGCCACCGCAACAGCTGCAGGACCATGAAATGTAAATCATGTCATTTATGACATCCATGTGATGATTTTCATGTTATGAATAGTTAAATACGTTTTTCATACAGTCATGTAATGCCATAGCAAGTTTGGTATTGATACCATAATCGAAACGACCAAGAGGGCTAAAGGTAGTAGGCAGCTAAATAGATAGATAGACATATAGATAGTTAGATAGATAGATAGATAGATAGATAGATAGATAGATAGATAGATAGATAGATAGATAGATAGATAGATAGATAGATGGATAGATAGATAGATAGATAGATAGATAGATAGATAGATAGATAGATAGATAGATAGATAGATAGATAGATAGATAGATAGATAGATAGATAGATAGATACGCTCCAAGTCGCCGAAGTTCGCTAAGAAATGCTTCGCATTTAAAAAGCACACTAGTTCTAGATGGTTTTGAAAGTGCTGCCTTTTCCATTACACGTGAGGTGAGTCAGGGATGCCCTTTGCCTCCTGTTCTATTTGTCCTCAGCAAAGCGCCATTTTCGTTTGCTCTAGAAGTGGATTCGCGTGTCCGGGATCTTTCCCTTCCGGGCAGCAGAGCCAGGAAAGTCCCATGTTTTGCAGACGACATCACAGGTTTTGCAGACGACATAACCCTGTACAGTCTCGGCTGGATTTCCTGGCTTTGGAGTAAACCGCTTGATTTGTTGTGAACGTTGTTCTCGAGGCCACTTCGCCTGCCTTCTCATTGTTCCTGGTGCCTACTGTCTTTGGCGCAATTGCTCTGAGGTGGTTGCCGTAGGTCGTCGCCGTCGCCCTCTCTTCCCGATTTTAGAGTGACTGTAACTAGAACTGTCTGTTTTATCGGCAGAACTCTGCTTTTTCGGTGAGGAATTCCTTCGACAGTGGTTCTGCCTATTTGTGTTCGTCTGCGAGAGACGTGTGAAGCTTGTTTTCAGGCCTCTTGGTTTCGGTAGGTTAATGTTTCTCAAGTACTCACACAAATACCTTGTAAATATTTTGTAAATACGAAACGTACGCATATTTAGGATTCATGTGTGTGTTCTGCATTTACCATGCATTTTACCTATGTAAACATATCTTTTTGTATAAATTCTTTTGTATCTGTGTATGTTGTGTTTCATGTACATATGTTAACATATCTTTTTGTAACAATTTTTGGTGTGTCTGTGGATGTTGTGTTCCGTCGCTATGTTCTGTTGGATTGTAATTGATGTCCACTGTTCGTGAGAATAAATTTCTCTAAACACAACTCGGTAGCAGATGCTGCGTAAGAATTGTGAGGCGAGATCTGGGAGAGAGGAAAAGAGGAGGAGAGAAACCGTGAGGAGTCCTGGGGAGGGCTGGCTAGTGAAGAAAGAGGAGGGTATAGGAAAGGAGAGGAGGTTGCACGTTTACGCCGCAGGAAGGGTTGACTAGACGGGAAAGAGGGGAGCGAGGAATGGCTATAGCCTGCGTCGGCGTTGTAAGGCGAGCGAAGGAGGAGCGTAGAGAAGGAGAGGGGCGGTGACGACGCGCATGCACAGTAGGTTGGTCTTGCCGGTCACGCCGCACGCGCACAACAGCGACACGTACTACCCGATATAATTGCGCGCATGATAAGAGAATAATGAGACACAGGTGGTAATTTAGTACAAGGCAAAGGAAGATTGCTTAAAAATATTGCTTAGGCATATGAACTTGCGCAATAGCGTTTCTCTTGAAGCGGCTGCATTCAAGTGAGTTCAAAGAATACATTGTTGAGATCAATAACTTTGATAAGAGCTCAACCAAATACCAAAATACACCCTATATCGACGGCATGAAAAATTCATAATGACGATTCAGCGTAGCAGTAATCATGCCAATAACGTACTGCTATACTGTATGAGAGAATTGCAACAACGATCTCGCACTTTATCTATCTCGAGTTTCTTGGAATCAATTTTCCATGGCCATTGAATTGGCGGACAAGGATTCTCGTAATATATTACCGCGAGATCTCCCCCCCCCCCCCCGGAGTTTTTTGTACTGGTACTCCCGCTGTTCGCGTCGACGTACGTGAACATGGAACTATATCACTTTCTAATAAGGCAGAACTATCTAAACAGAGACGCTGCCGCGTTCACACAGAGTAACCTACCCTTGCTGGTGAATAAAAAAAAATCTATTCTTCGTTTCTAACTGGTCGATCCGTGTATTTCTTGCCTACACTAATGCAAACTCCCGAGGTATACTGAAAAGGCTTCGTCTTCAATGTGTAAAAAAAATAAAACAAAAAAAACTGCTGAAAAAGGATCCACGCATTTTCTTTTCCTTTATTTGTTTTATGTCTCCTATATTAGCAATTCTTCACCCATAAAATATTTACGCGCCAAAGAAAATAGAACAACATCGTCAAAACATTGATTTCTCAGTTTCTACACACGAAAACTACCTATGATATCAGTAGAGGTGAGGAGGGTTTTGAAATAATTTGACTAACTCGGCTTTTCACGCCTTCCCCAGTCTTGGTGTTTGAGCATTTCGCTTCAATCTAAATGCGACCTTCATGTTTGGCAACTGAATACCCTCAGTGCGACACGTTACTTGATCAGCTATAGCACGTTTTTTCTCCGCTTCATTAGAACCACCCTCATAAAGACTGATATGGAAGAATCGTGACGCGTATCAAAATATCGAAGTTGTGCAGCCTTATGGTGAATCTGTCAAAGTGCGAATAATTCCGCAAGCACTGTAATACTTCGTAGTCTTTCACCTTCAACAAGTAGTGGAACAACTAATCATATATTTTTACTTTTTATGCACTGAATACAAGGAGGAATGTTTGTGCAACAAGATGGTGAAGTGCATGACTTTTCAGAAATTGGCATGTGTGCAATTAGAAAGCGAGCAGTAATGAGAGGCTGCCGTTGACTCATTACAGCAATCATTTATTATTGCGATAGGAATTATATGGACTCTTCCGGCTGGCTCTCATTGCGGGCGTCTGTCGCCGCCGACATTCTTCGTATATGTGTACGTAACTATATATATAAAACGCAAGATAGAAAAAGAATAAAAAAAAAGACTCCACTGTGCAGAATCAAACGTCTGACCTCTTGCTCCTGAGCGCGTGGTGTTAGCTGCTAAGCCACGAAGAAAGTATGTGGTCCTTAAATGGAAAAGAGAAAAGTGAGCCCCGTAACTGTCTGCATCTGGTGCGACACCTCAACAGTAGTTCACAAGGGATGGGGGTAAGGAGGGATTAAAAGGATATGAATTAAAGATATATATGTAGAGAGAGGAAGGAGAGAGCAAGGCGCAGGGCCAGCAAGCGACGAAAGTAAAGTGGAGATAGGAAAGATGGACACGGTCGCAAAAGTCCGAGGACGGGGCACAACTCGACGAGAGCTCTTGTCGGCGTCAGGAGATGGCGTAGGGCCAGCCCAGTTAGCCAGAGCTGCATTGTCGTCAGAGATCACGAGGGCACAAACGGTCGGCATGAAATCCAGCGAGCGAGTTCCCAGCCACGAAGAAGCACCTTTT